AGGGCATTCATGTTGGAATGAAGGAAGTCAAATTGTCCCTGTTTGCAGATGACATGATCTTATATGTAGAAAAACCTAAAGACTCCACCAAAACGTTTTTAAACTAATAAACAAATTCAGTAAAGTCTCGAGATAAAAAATCAATACACAAAAATTGGTAGCATTTTTATACACCAACAACGAACTAGTAAAAAAAAAAAAAAGAAATCAAGAAACAATCCCATTTACAATAGCTACAAAAAAGTAAAATGCCTAGGAATAAATGTAACCAAGGAGGTGAAAGATCTTTACAATAAAACCTATAATACACTAATAAAAGAATTAAAAAGGACACAAAAAAATGGAAAGACATTTTATGTTCATGGACTGGAAGAATTAATACTGTCAAAATGTCCATGCTACCCAATGCTATGCACACATTCAATATAATATGTCAAAATACCAAAGACATTCTTCACAGAAGTAGTAAAAACAATTCCTAAATGTATATGGAACCACAAAAGACCCCAAATAGTCAAAGCAATCCTGAGCATAAAGCACAAAGCTAGAGGCATTACACTACCTGACTTCAAAATATACTATAAAGCTATAGTAATCAAAACAGCATGGTACTAGTAAAAAACAGACACATAGACCAAAGGAACAGAACAGAGAACCCAGAAATAAATCTGTATACTTCCAGCCAACTAATCTTCGACACAGGTGCCAACAATATACATTGAGGAAAAGACTGTCTCTTCAATAAACGGTGCTGGGAAAACTGTATATTTATATGCAGAAGAAAGAAACTAGACCTCTATCTCTCACCATATGCCAAAATCGACTCAAAATTGATTAAAGACTTAAATTAATACCCAAAAGTACAAACTTCTATAAAAACAACAACAACAACAACAACACAGGGGAAACACTTTAGGACATAGGACTGTGCAAATATTTCATGAATAAGACTTCTAAAGTATAGGCAACAAAAGCAAAAATAGACAAATGGGATTATATCAAACTAAAAATCTTCTGCACATGAAAAGAAATAATCAACAATGTAAAGTGGCAACTAGCAAAATTGGAGAAAACACTTACAAACTATTCATTTGGTGAATTAATACCCAGAATATACAAGGTACTTAAAGTACTCAATGGCAAATAACCCACAAATAATTCAATTAAAAATGGGCAAATGACCTGAAAACACATTTCTCAAAAGAAGACATAAAAATGGCCAATATTCAAATGAAAAAATGCTCAGCGTCATTAATCATCAAGGAAATGCAAATCAAAACAACTATAAGATACAACTTCACTCCAATTAGAATGGCTATTATTAGAAAGACAAAACAAAGGGCCAACCCCGTGGCTCGCTCAGGCGAGTGCGGCACTGGGAGTGCAGTGGCACTCCCGTCGTGGGTTCAACTCCAATTAGAATGGCTATTATTAGAAAGACAAAACAAAGGGCCAACCCCGTGGCTCGCTCGGGCGAGTGCGGCACTGGGAGTGCAGTGGCACTCCCGTCGCGGGTTCAGATCCTATATAGGGATGGCTGGTGCGCTCACTGGCTGAGCGTGGTGCGGGGGACACCAAGCCAAGGATTACGATCCCCTTACCGGTCACAAAAAATAAATAAATAAATAAAACAGAAAGACAAAACAAAAAAACACACAACAAAATAACAAGTTTTGGTGAGGATGCAGAGAAAGGGGAACTCATACACTGTTGGAGAGAATGTAAATTAGTATAGCCATTATGCAAAACTGTATGGAGGTTCCTCAAAAAACTTCATGTAGAAGTACCACCTGATCCAGCAATCTCACTGCTAGTTCTTTATCCAAAGGAAAGGAAATTAGCATGCTGAAAAGATATCTGCACCTCCATGTCTGTTGCAACACTATTAAGAATAACCAAGGTATGGAATCAACCTAAGTGTCACCAGATGAATGGATAAAAAAATGTGATATATATATATACACACACACACACACACACACACATGCACACACACACACACACACACACACACTGAGATGCTACTCAGCCATGAAAAAGATAAAATTATGTCATTTACAGGAAGGTAGATGAGCCTGAAAGACATTATGTTAAATGAAGTAAGTCAGGCACAGAAAGATAAATACCAAATGTTCTCATTCATTGTGGGTGCTTAAAAAAAAAAGCTGAACTTTTAGAAGTAGAGAGTTGAAATGTGGTTACTAGAGGCTGGGAAGAAGAGCTGGGAGAGGCCTAGTGAAAGGTTGGTTAATGGACACAACATTACAGCTATATAGGAAAAATAAGTTCTAATGTGTACACTAGTGCTAGGCATCTACAATTTAAAATAATTAATATCCTCAAGTGGCTAGAGGAGAGGAGTTCAAATGTTCTCATCAAAAATAAATGATACATTTTTGCCATGATGAATTTGCTAACTACCCTGGTTTGATCATTACACATTATGTGTGTGTGTATATTTTTGTATGTGTGTGTGTGTGTGTGTGTGTAAATGTAATTGTACCCAATAAAATCAAACAAACAAAAATCCACAGAAATAGAAAAAAAAATCCTAAAATTCATATGGAAAAACAAAAGACCTCAAATAGCCAAAGCAATCCTGAGAATCCACCTTAGTATCATTCTCAGATGCTCTTAAACCCAGAACATCTCAAACTTTCTGCTAGTCAACTAAATTTGTTTTTCATAATTATGCCTTCAGAAGACTCTATGCTTTGATTATTGCCTTTCTGCTAATTTAGTCACTTCTCCATCATTTTTTAGCTTCTCCAGATATATTGAAAATATTTTCTCCCTCTTGACTTTCTTCACATTATCTTTGTGGGTTAAAGCTTTCATTTTATTTATTTTCTTTATTCATTATCTCCCTTTGGAGGCTTTGGAAGGCAGAGGCAACAAGGTTGCAAAAATATAACAAAGTTAAATCAAAATGTTTAGTTAGATATTATTATGAAAAACTCTATGCTAATAAATTGGACAAAGAAGAAATAGATGAATTTCTAGGAAAATACTAGTTGGATAAACAGAATCAATCACAAATATAAAATCCGTGTAATCCTACAACATCTTAAGTAATTGAAGACAATAGTTTTAAATATCATTCCACAAAGAAGCCTACTGGGAATACATGGCCTTTTATCCAGATTTTCTCAAATTTTGAATGAAGAGTTAATTCTAATACTGCATAAATTCTTACAAAAAAAAAATAGAAAGAGGAGCACTATTTGACTGCTAAATGAAGCTTGCATAACCAGGGTTGACCTATTTACTCCCAGCACATTGAACATATGGTTTTTATTGACCTATGATTAAATTTACTAATCTTTTCTTCTCTTGTGTCTGATCTGCTGATAAACCCATTCGTTGATTATCCTACTACTAATATAGCAGAAATTTTCTGTAATCTTAAAGTTATAAGCAGTCACGTTCCTTAGGCAGATTTGAAGAGCTTTGAGATATTCTGCTTGGCTTCCTAGCTCCTTCCTTTTCTTCCATAGAAGTGAGATTTCTATGTGAGGTATGAATGCACATAGCAGGGAGATGTCAGTTTACGTACCATTCCTATTTTACTATTCACTTGTAAGATTCATAGCTTATACAATATTTTTCAGGAACCTATGCCTCATAAATCTATAGATTTTAGGCTTGTTAACCATAAGCAATCACAAACCAGCGATATCATGCTAAAGGATTCCTTAGATAAATACTAACCACTAGCAAATACTAATTGCCTAACTACTAGAAGATTTACTTATTTTAAAAGGAGACTACATCAGGTCTCCTGTGGTTTTTCACTATTTGGGAATATTACCTCTATTAATGACTGATAACAAGTTCTTATGTCAGCCTAATTAGATCCTTTCTCGCCACAATTCAGAGATTTACTTTCTCTTTTTTTTTTTTTTTTACAGTTTCCAAATCTTTGATTCCCTAATTCCCTGTATGCCTATTTTATTCATCTTTTCCAATAGATTCCTCAACAAATTTATAATTAAATTCTTTATCTTGAAATTCTATAGCTAGAACATCTATGTATTTTTATTTACAAAGTTTTCTTTTGAATATAGGTCACATTCTCATCAATATCGGTTAAATTCTTTTTCTTTTTTGCTATTTTTCCGTGTCCGGCAACGGATCGCAACCTTCAGTGTTGCCCCCGTACTGGACCAGGGACCGGCAATGGGATTGCAAACCTCGGCGTTGCTCCCGCGCCTCGCTCAGCCAGTGAGCGGGAGCCGGTCCGTATGTGGGATCCGAACCCTCGGGCGGGAGCTCCACCGCGCTTCCCAAGCGGCGCACTACCCAGTGCGCCACCGGGCCGGCCCTCTTTTGAGGTCACATTCTCATCAATATCGGTTAAATTCTTTTTCTTTTTTGCTATTTCATTTCTTCTTATATCACACGTATTATGTCCAGTATTAAAGTATAAATTATCTAAATTATGTATGTATATCTATGCAAGTATATCTATATGTATACCTACATGCACACAAACAGACACACACACACAAATTCTCTTCCTCCATTAGACTAGAATGAGGGGATAATAATTTGTCCATTATAATATTTTAAGAATTTGTTTTTCCAAATAGTTTCCTATGCAATCACAATATATAAAAAGTAAAAATGATTTCATTTTACTTCTGTATAAAATTTACCATTATTTTTATAGTTATCACATCATTTTTTACACATTAATTGGAAAATTAGTGGACATTTGATTATTTTTAAAAATATATATTTTTAAATGCTTTGACCTGAGAGCTATGCCTTGTTCTTGTTCTGATGTTCTATTTCTCAGTCCATTTTTAACATGAGAGGTTTGGGCTCTATTATCTTTTTGGTCTCTTTAAAATTTAATATTCTACAGCTATATAGAAGCTTATTGTGTGGCAACTGCTGTCAAAATTATATTTTCAGGTAATTTGACAACTGTCCTTAATAATTCAATGTGAATTCAAGTTTATGATGGGTGATTTAATTTTGCATCTCTTTGAAAGGATCTGAAGGTGAAATATGTGACATGATTATTGATACCTACTTTTTCCTGGCTGCAAACTGCACTGGAGGTGCAGTCTATGAGAACAAACCTGAAGACATTAATTCTGCATGCTTGTTCCTGGGTGAAGGCACAATACAGGTACAGTAAATTTTGTAGAATTTTCTCATTTGTCTCATTAGCTTGTACTTGTCTAATTTGAAAAAAAAAATAGAAACGTTAAGGTTATGGATTCTTCAGTGTTGAAGATAGGCATAATTTCATAAACAAATTTCCAACACTCTACTTGGAAATCTGTATTTACTTTTTATGTTTTTGCTCTTGTTGTGTCGTATCCATGTTATAATTTGTTGACTGATTAAAGCTTCTCAAATGCAGTTGTGATTATGCCACTTTTTTGTGTAAAGATCATAGTGAATTGCCAATGTCTTTTGGATATAGTTAAATCTCTGGGAGATTTCTAATTTCTTGGTAGTCTTACCACTAACAGGTGTAGGGCCTATGGCACATATAAAAAAAGATTTTTTCATTTTCTCCACCTCATCTACCTTTTGTAAAAATTAGGGTTATATTTTCAAACAAACAACAAGTAATAAAAATTTTAGGACCTTAATTTTAAACAAATTAGGAGCTTTTTGTCAAAATGATTTAAGAGTTTTCCAAAAAGTTTAGAGAGTTAACAAAATATTTGTCAACTCTCTTATCTTGACACAAACTAATTTGGTCATTTTACAGAAACAAAATTATATTCCAATTTTGGTTTGTATATAATTCATAAATAATTTTTAATGAAGATTCATAAGCCCTTTTGTATATGAATATATCCATTAACATTGTGGCAACCTTCAAAAAAATAACACAGGTCTCTTTTTCCTTCTGATTCGCCATCTGTAGTATTACAACTACAGGCAAACAGAGTTCAAATTCCTCAGACCTTTTAACTTGAAGTGTGATCTCAATATATCTTTTATTATATTTATACTATTGATAAATGTACGATGTAATTTTAACACATTTTTACATGTATTTAGCCAATCACAAATACATGACTATGCACATAGACAATTAAATTAAGGCTTTTAAATTTATCTTTAACATATATTTAACTTTATCAGTATATTGCAGACAATTATATATTTAATAAATTTATTAATTAACTGTAAACCTTCTCTTAGGAAATAAACGAACAAATCATATTTATTATTTTGTTTACATATTTCTACTTCTCTGTATACTTTTTAATAATTACCAACTTTAAAGTAACCAACATTTATTTCTTTAGACTCAAGAAAATGCACAAAGATAGCAATCGAAGAATGTTTTAGCTATTTTTTAATTACATATTTTGTTTAATTTAAACAACTTAAAATAAAATAAGCCAGTGAGCGGGAACCGGTCTGTATGTGGGATCCGAACCCTCGGCGGGAGCGCCAGCACGCTTCCCAAGAGGCACACTTATCCAGTGCGCCACCGGGCCGGCCCCCAACATTTATTTCTTTAGACTCAAGAAAATGCACAAAGATAGCAATCGAAGAATGTTTTAGCTATTTTTTAATTACATATTTTGTTTAATTTAAACAACTTAAAATAAAATATTTTTACATTCCATTTCCATTCTATAAAGAAGAGGGGCAATTTGAAACCATTTAGAGACTAATATTTATATATTTTTCTTAATTAAAAATTGTTGATGTATCCAAAGATAATTTTATTAATTTAATTAAATATGAGTGTATGATCTTAATGTTAACTAAAAATTTGGAAATTACAACTTACAGATTCATATTAAATATATATAATTTGTACTATCATCAATAAGACAATCTACTACATCAGTTTAATAGGATCAATAGGAATTCACAAGATTAAATCCTTTTAAATTATATTCATTATTAAAATTTTAATTATTTAAACTTTATATTTTTATAATCATAGACTATTTGAGGAAATAATGGTAAAATAGCTCTTAAAGTTAAATTATTGACTTACCTAAGTGTGATTTATTTATTAGGAAATTACCTAAGCTCTTTTAAAATAAATACAGTAGTTTTGAATAAATAAATAAATAGACCTCTGCATTCACATATTTTTAAAAAGTCAAGACTTTTGAGTTTAAGCTGAAATATTTATGAGCCTGATTTTCTTTTTATCTAAAAGGTTAACAATGGTACTCATATACATAAGTATGCTTTTTCGGCTTTTTAAAAATTTTGGCAAGAGAAAAGAATATAAATAAAACACAGTAAAACATTTTCCTTTTCTTGTTAATTTTTGACTATTTATGTGAACAATAGTCTTATGATGTCTATAATAATGATATAAAGAGTACTTATGATCAATTAATTTCAAATTTTCCCAAGCAAAAAAGAATAGGAGAAAAAGCGAGAATGAATAAGTGAAGGGGAACTAGATTCAGGAAGATATAAAATTGTCATTGCAAAAGGTTTATTATCTCCCCTCTGCAATGAGTAGTAGGTGCTTAAAGGAAGAAAAATCCATTTCACACGTGCCCTCACACATGCAAGAACAAGTTATTATGGACTGTTTAAACCATAAGTCACATACCTGACAATTCTGTAGAGCCATGTAATTAAAAGCACACTGTTTATTTATCCCAGAGGTATGAAAATGAAAAAGGAAGACTTGTGCATTAACAGAGTAATCTATTAGACACGCAGGACAGAGAATCTCCTCACAAGGATTTTTCCCTTATTGTCCTATTGCATCTGTCCAATGAACAGAAGGAATAAGTTTATGCCAAAATTTCCCTAGTGTGGCCACTGCAATTTCTGATTGTCCTTTGAGAAATTATGCCAATTAGAGAGGTATGTACATCACTTACAATATGAAGGGACGGATATGTGGTATAGATGCATGAGAGACTGAGAAGAATTCATGAAAATTTATATCAGCAAGCACTTGGGCACTGTCATGTCTGCAAAATCTTTCAAAGACCAGTCAGTCCTAACTGAGGGAAGCATATAAATATGAGTGAGTTTCTATAACCCTGTTACTAAAAGGTTATAAGGTTATATTTATGCTTATTATATTTCTTTATCATATAAACATTTTTTAAACATCTAAAATAAAATATCTTTTATAATATTGGCTTTTTGTACAATAAAAATATTAATAATTAATTGTATATATTATGCATGATATATGTTATATATAATATCTATGATATTATATATAGCTACTAGATATTTTTCCAATAATTTATATTTCTAGTTGTAGCTTCTACTCTAATCTTGGTGGTGCATGGGTAGATTCCAACGTATTTATTTGATCAAAAAACTCATTGAAAATATGACAAAAGCTAAAAATAATCACATCACAATAATTTATGCACACACAAGGACAAAATTTCAAAGGGTTAATGGAATCCTTTAAGCCAGAATCCTTGATTCTACAGACAACAAAAATTGAAATATCTTTTCCCTGGATATACAAGGTAGGTGCAAGTTGTATGTATTCACTGATGCAATTTACTGTCTTGTAAGTTTTTCTGAGAACCCTCTTTTTTCTGCAAATTTAATTATAGAAAACTAGAGCTCTGGTATAAGACTATACTATCTGAACAGATGAAAAATCCTGTTGTTATCCCAAATATAGTATTTTAGGAATTAAGAAAAGATACACCTGAGCTTAAGCACTACATATCATCTCTGGTGACAAAGTTTACTTAACTCTGTCATGTAAATTTATTGAGAATCTCTCTAGAATACTTCCAAAATTGTTAAAAGAATAAATTTATATATATATAAATATATATATATAATTATATATATATTAATAAAATATATATATTAATAATATATATATTAATAAAATATATATATATTAAAGCATGATTTTCATTCAGACATTAGATAAACATGTGTTAAAAATATTATTTAACTCATTTTTAATTAGGAATCCAGTCAACTTTTACTATCAGTTCAAAGGAGAATCCTAATACCCACTCAAGGAGAAAAAACTATTTATTGATACCAGAAACAGATTTTCCCTGGATAAATTTCTCAATACAAAGCTATTTTCATCATATCAGTTAGTATTTAAGCAGTGTCTAGAGAAATTTCATTAAAATAAAATTAAAAGAACTTAATTTTTAAAACATTTGTGTAATAATTTTCTCTGTTTCATTTGTTAAAAATCTATATATTTCTGTCATAATTTGAGTGTGAACCAAATGTGACTGTTGAAAATTATTTTGTTTTAAATCAAAACTGAATATTTTTACCCTTGCTAAAGGAAGACATGATGTTAATTCATAAAGGCGAGTACGAAATTCAAACTTTGAAATGACTATAATATTGTAGTACGTGATAGGAATTTACAAAATTCCTTTTTCTTGTTTTTTAAAGATGTGTGCAAGTGGTTGCAGGTGTTTGAGTGAAAAAGACAGTCAGGGATGTTGGTGTCCATGTATCCTCAGACGGTCTGGCAAAATACATCTGGAAAATGCAACAGACTATCAAGAAAATGGGTGTCAACATGAAGCTGTTCGTAAAAATGAAATTAACAGAACCAGGTATTTATGCATTGTTTGAGCTAAAAATATCAGCTATCTATGAAAAATTTCTAATTATATTAATAAGTATTAATTAACTGTTTCATAATATTTTATAATGATAATTACTTTGCTCAAAATGATTGGAATTCATATACCAAACTTTTACATTGTTATTATATATTTTTAATGTATATATAATATGTTATGTATTTCAATAGTAGCAAAAAAAAAAGAAGAGGGAATAGATCAATATAGTATTAATTTTTCTGTATTACATCAGAATTAAGTTTAGTATAAATATGTAGTAATTCTAATAAATTAAGATATATATGGTAAGCTCCAGATCAACTACTTAGCAAATAACTCAAATTATATAGTGAAACTTGCATTAAAAGAAAAAAATATTGCCCTATATAATACTTAATAAAAAGGAGTTAATACCAGAAGAACGTAGGTACAAAGAAGACATGGGAACTGGAATATGAAAAGTAGAATGTCAGAAATAAATCTAACTATACCAATAATAACATTAAGATGAATGGATTTTTAAAAGGTTGAGATTTTCAGACTGAATAATTTCTACATTTAACAACTTTTAACTTCCTACAGAAGACACACTTTAAATTGAAAGGTACAAATAGGTTGAAAGTGAAAGAATGGAAAATGATAGATCATTCAAACAGCGTGTGAGAAAGTTGAAGTGTCTATAGTGATATTAGACAAAATAGACCTTAAAAGAAAAAAGTTACTAAAGAAAAATGACATTTTGTAATAATAAGAGAGTGAAACCATCAGAAGTGGTAGCAATTATAGATATGCATATACAACTAACAATAGAGCTCCAAAATTCATGAGGCAAAAATTAACAGAATTGAAGCAAGAAATGAGCAATTCAACAATAATAGTTAGTGACTCTAATACTCCACTTTAAATAGGAAATATAACACTTGGCAGAAAATCAACAGAGATATAGAAGATTTGAAAAACACTATAAATCATTTAGAAATAGCAGGTATATAAAACACACTACCTAACTACAGAATAACCTTAATTGGACGTGGAACATTTTTCAAAATAGGCCATATGCTGTACTATAAAAATAGCTACAATATACTTAAAAGATCAAAACACTAAAATGGATGTCTCTGACCACAATGGAATGAGATTAGGACTGATGAATAACAAGCAATTTGGTATATTCACAATTCTGTATAAATTAAAAAACACAATGGACATTAATTAATGGGTCAAAAATAAATTACAAAGGAAATTAGAAAATAAGTTGAGATTAATGAAAATTAAGGTACAACAAACCAACACTCCTAGGATATAGGTGATGCAGTGCTTAGAATAAAATTTATAACCATAAATGCAAATTACAAAGGAAATTAGAAAATAAGTTGAGATTAATGAAAATTAAGGTACAACAAACCAAAACTCCTAGGATATAGGTGATGCAGTGCTTAGAATAAAATTTATAACCATAAATGCTTATGTTCATAAAAGAAGAAATTTCTCAACAAATATCCTAATCTTCCACCTTAACAAAATGCCCAAGGGCAAAAACTAAACCTAAATAAAACAAGCAGAAGAAGAAAATCATAAAATGTAAAAGAAAATTAATAAAATAATGTATAGATAAGCGATAAAGAATATCAATGGAACCAAAAGTTTATTCTATTAAAGTATTAATAAAATCAATTAACCTTTACCTATTCTAAAAAAAATCAAATTACTTAAATCAGGATGAGAGAATTTTATTAATGAAATTACAGAAAAAAATTACAGAGAAACACTACAAACTGAAGTGGCTAAATTCCTTATCCTCTCCTGTTTTAATCCTTGATCTAATTCTTCAGCTACAATCTGCTTGCATGTAAGAAATATCTAGAGTTGCGTTAAGGGTTAACAGCTGAATGCATTTCTGAGCTCTGTGACTCTGCAGTTTGCCAACTTGTCTGCTCTTTTTTAAGCAAGCTCTGGCTTGTTTTTAGCTTGTGTTGCAGAAAGCCCCCAAACCATATCCCTCGTCTCTGTGACCCAGTTTTGCCCACCTGGTGAAGCCCCCTACCCAGAGCCTCTTACTCACAATTAACCACCTGGTGAGGACCCCAATTTAGGTGACTCTGCCTGGATACAGACAGAGAGCCAATAGAAAAGCTTGCTTGCTTGCTCAAGAAAGGTATATATCCCCAGTTCTCCCTGCATTCCAGGCTCAGGTTTTGGGAACAGTAGTTCCCCTGAGAGTGCTGGTGTAATAAATCATCTGGCTTCTCCATTTCTCTGAGTGTTTGCATTTCCTTTGGTAACTTCTGCCATAGCAAGACAAATGTATATCAAAAAATTTAATTATGATGAAATGGACAAATTTCTAGAAAAATAAAAACTACTAAAACTAATTTTAGCAGAAAGATAAAATCTCGTTGGACATATAACAAGTAAAAATGTTGAATTAAACAAACAAACAAAAATTAACACTGAGAAATGTCCAGGCCTAGATAGTTTGATTGGGACATTCTAGCAAACATTCAGAGCAGAATTAATAGAAATTATTTACAAGCTATTCGAAAAATAAAAGAAGGGGGAATGTTTCCCAACACATTCTACAAGGCCAATACTACAATGACACCAAAACCAAATAAAGACACCACAAGAAAACTAAACTCCAATATATCTTGTTAATGTAAGCATAGGGATCCTCAACACAATGATAGCACACTAAATCCAGCAACATCTGAAAAGGTTTATACATCATGACCAAGTGGGATTTATTACAAGAATGCAAGGTTGGTTTAACATCCTAAAATCAATTAATGTAATATACCATATCAGTAGAATAAAGAAAAAAAAAATGCATGATAATTTTAATAGATGCAGAAAAAAAATCATTTGACAGAATCTCACACCCTTAAATTATAAAAAAACAGTCAACAAATGAAGAGTGCAGTGGAACTTCCACAATCTGATAAAGGGCATTTAAAAAGAAAAAAGAAAAGAAGGAAAAAACACATAACTAGCATAATCTTTACTGGTGACAAAATGGAAATGCAAATCAAAACCAGGAATGCTTTGTATCTACTAATATGGCTATAAGAAGACAGACAATTACAAGTGTTTGTATTTGAAAGAGTGTAGAGAAATTTGACCCTTATACATTGCTGGTTGGAAAGAAAATCATGCAGGTGTTTCAGAAAATAGTCTCTCAGTTTCTTAAAAGTTTACCATGACTTACCATAGGCCTCATCAATTCTACTTCTAGTACATACTTAAGAAAAATGAAAATACATGTCCACATAAAAACTTATACATGAATATTGGTAAAGTTTTATTAAATATAACCAATAGTTGAAATAACCCAAATGTTCACCAATTGATGAATGGATAAATGAAATTTGTTATATTCATGCAATGGAATATTATTCTGCAATAGAAAGGAAAAAATTACTGATACATATCACAAATCACAACACGGATGAACCTTGAAAACATTTTGATAATGGGAAAAAGTCACAAAAGACACATGTAGTAAAGCTCAGTGAATATTTGTTTAATGAAACAATGACTTTCAGGAGCTTTTTATCGATCAAGAAAATCATCCTTTGTTCTGTGATATAACTGCGTTTTTTTCTGGTTTTGTGTCTGTCTTTGTTTATAGCAATTTTTTGATATCCAGAGAACCTTGGCATATTTTTAGTTGAAATTGTTAGCACATCACTTTTATGAGTTCTTGATATTGTCTTATAATTAATTTTAATAATGGAGTCCAGCAAATTTTGCAGATAAAGATAATTCATGTAAAATTAAGTTTCTCCATGCCAGTCACAACATCTAGAAATTATTATATAATGTGGTATCACCCTCTATAATGGCAAAAGATATGCAAAATCTTAGAATTAACAACAAAAGATGCTCTAATTCTCTGTAAATAAAATTCTATATATTACTAAGTTCAATTGAAAAAGAAAATAATATATACTCTGAATAAATTGAAATACAATCCATGGACTTAGATATCTTAAATTGGCTAAGATAGCAATTTTTCCCAAATTAATTCACACATTCAATGTAATACCCAAAATTGCAGATTATAATAGACACTAATCAACATGTTCTAAACTCTATATAAAAGAATAATGTTTTATAAATAACCATGTCATCTTGGAAAAGGAAGAGTAATGGGGTAGTACTTCATGTACCATCTGGTATGACAGACTACAAAACCCACATGGAATCTCTGTAAGTACAAACAATGGGCCACAGAAAGCTCTCAGAACAACCCATGTACATAAGGGATTTTTATATATGAGAAATTTGTCCATAATTTGATGTGAATGCACAGGTGTTTCTAGTAAATAGTATTCAGTAAGTGGTTCATTATGAGACCATAAATAAAACTGTATTACAACCTTGTTCTTTCTAACAGAGTCCAAATGTGTTTAAAGACCTAAAAGTAAAAGGTAAAATTATGACATAACTGAAAGTAATGTAGAAAAATACATTCATGGTTTTGGGATGAAGACATTTTTAAACTAAACTCACAACGTACAACTTATAAAGCACAACATCGATAGTATTGTAATAATATTAATTAGAGATTTTTTTCCACTTAAAAACACTAATAATAACAATGTTAGTGGAAAGATGGTTGATAAAAAGTGCATGAACATTTTTTATTGAAGTGTACTTTATAGGAGTGCAACTTGAAGTGTGTAATGTAAAGGAAGTATTTCACATAGGTCTGAGCATTTCCACAATTTTTCCCTAAAATGTTCAAGAACATTTTCTGGGAATTTGGAAAACCTTTAATGAGCAAACAAATATACAAACAAACAAAACCCACAAGCCATATTGTCACTGAAGACTTCAGGATAGGTGTTGTAAGAATGGAGTCATAATTTCATAACACTAGGCCCAGATCTCTTTCTGAAGCTTCAGACTTACAGCTAAGTCACCAATACTTACTTGCTACCAGAATATAAGAAAATGAAATATATTTGTGCATATATTTATCAAACACTTATTGAATACACTCTAATT